GAGGGAAGGAAAAATTTTGGCTGCATCTACTGGAATAACCCCCTAATTTTTAATCACATTTATCCTCTTTACCACCTCCAAAAAAAAGAGGTATTGTAATCATGCACATATCACAGCAGTTATCATTTGTAATAATTTGCTAATAAATACTTTAACAAATATTGGCATATTTGTGACCACTATGTCTACCTTCCATACAGAGAAGCTGTTAACTAAATAGACAAATAAATTCAATGTCTTTCTCTGCAAGGAAACTGCCTCACTTGGCCATTAACTTTATTTAAGGAGCTAACCAACATCCAGATAAAAAGAACATGCACTCAATTTCCCAAAGCTTACCAATCAGGGCTTTTACAGAAACCAACAGATCACTGGATGACAGGAAGTCCCTGCATTAAGAATTTGGAAGATAGTAAACAACTGCCTGATTTTGCAAAGGTGAATGCTAGAGCCACATGTTTTAAAGCTTATGCTATTCAGCATTTTCATAAGTGATTCTCGAAAGCATGAACAACTGATTACAAAGTTTGCTAGCACCAACACAAATTCACTTAGCAGAGGTGCATTTGAAGCCGAGTTTCACTCAGAAAGACCTCATACTGCTGAGTGGCTACTTCTAAAATGGCAGATAGAATTCAAATTTGATGACCAAAGAAAGAGATTAAACCCAGTTGTTTCTCACTACACATTAGCAATTTCTACTGAGAGTTATCATCCAATAATCAACTAAGGCAGTTTTCTAAGAATAACAATGCAACACTCAGAAGCAGAACTCAAGGACAGTATGCAAGGATAACAGGAATCTCCTATGCAGCTGTACAATCTCACACTCTCCTTAAACCATTCACAGCCAGTGTCATGCACTGGTCAACAGCCTAATGTCTTGGATAACCAGCCATTTCACTCTCTGCACAAGCTATAGAACCAAACCAAACGGGTTTAAAACTTACCCGAACGGCTGTGTCCACACCTGCTGAGGCCAGTCGATTGATCTTCCCATCAGCTCCGTGCTGGAAGTCCAAGCTGTAAACGGGCTCCTTATTATGCCACACTATTTCACAAGTGATGACCTTCATGTTTGCTAAAGAAAACAGAGTAAACGCCAAATAAAGCCTTGTTTTTTTGTGACTAAATCAAAGTTAATTCAGATTTGGCAAGCGCCACAGACAGATCCCGGGACAATTTCACAGTGGAAACTGACAGGATGGTTTAAGTTAGATAATTTCTAAGTGCTAAAATCTATTACGGCTACAGTTACTGCCTAAGCACCGCGTGAGCATACCAAACCGCGTCTCCCAGCGGAATCAAACATTGTGACTGCCGCGTGGGACAGTTACAATGAAAGCCCACCGGGGGCACACACCACAGCTTGCCGCTTTCAGCCCCGGAGTGAGCCCGCCCTGCCCCGGGCAGCGCCAGGCGGGACCGGCACTGCGCACATCCTCTTGCCCTCGGAGTAGTACCGCGGCGGTGCAAGCAGCGCTGCACCAAGCAGTCAGGATCACGGAGAGGCGGGAAGGCTCGGGGGGTGGGGGGGCAGCGGGAAAGCAGTGGCGCCGCTGCCCACAGCCCTACCTCGCGGCCTGGCAGTCGCTCCCTGGGCAGCACCGCACCAAAGCCCCACGGGGCAGGAAAACCGCCGCCGGGGCTGGCGGTACCGGATGCCTGGGGAGGATGCGCCCCACGAGACCCAGCGCCGCGAGCACCGAAGCTAACTCCCAGCTCTCTGCTCGCTCCCTTCCTGCCCCGGCTCCCCACAGCACAGCACCACCCCTAGCCGCCACTAACGGCCGGGGAGGACGGAGGATGCCCCACACTCCCCAGTCCTACCTCCAGCTCCCTGCTGCCGGGCTGGGCTCCAGCGCTAGCGCCAGTTTCCCGCCCCGCGCCTGCGCGCGGCCTCCTCCCCGCTGGCTGCGAGGAGCGTCAGGCGGCCGGCAGCGCCCCCTGGCGGAGGCGGCTACACGGCGGTGCCTCCGCCGGCCCAGCCGCGGCCATCACCGTCGTGGAGTGTCGCGTTATGTCTCTATATTGCTCTATTCGAGATGTTTTTACATCTAGGCTGGTTAAAGGGCAACCAGTCCCCAAAATCGCCGTTTCTTTCAAATGCAAACCTTTCAGTGTGAAGTAATAATAAAGAAATTACATCCTTAGAAACCAAGGCAGCCAGGATTGCCATGCAAGCACAGCTAGGCTAAAAGCCAGGACAGTGCAAGGCCTCGTGCTGAAGCACGGAATCAAACTCTACAACTCGAAGAGAGTTATAAAGCAGGTACGTTTATTACAGCGCCGGGTACAAGGGGGATTGCTCCTCCTAACTTGCACACCGAGGGGTTAAGCAAGCAGATATTTATTACACACAAACATGCATATTCATTAGGTTCCCAAGAGTTCGGCAGGGATAATAGTTAGTTTAGGTACTCATAAGTCTCCTCGCTTTTGGCGCTTGTGCACTGCCCTCCGATGGTCGTGGGCAGGGGTCTTCAAGATGAAGTAAGCAGTCTTCCGCAGGGTGCACTTTTCACCTTTGGCACAGTTGGATGCCCCAGTAATCGCAAATTAGCTGAAACCAGCCATATCTGCAAGTTCCTGATAGCTGGCAAAGATTTAGAACGGTGTGACCTTTGTACCAGGGTAGGGCAGACAAGGAGTATCCTAAGCTAGCAGATGTTCAGGAGTCACCGTCTTCGAACTGATAATTAGAAGGATGGAAAGAAATAATGCACTCTTGTTAGTAAGACTGCTAAATTCTGTTATCACACCACAGACTTACAACACAAACATTGTTCTCTATCTTAGACCTAAGTTAAGTTAAAAGTATATTAACCCTATGTTTTCCAGGCACTTGCTTTCCTTTTATCAGTGCTTGACTTGAAATCTCACTTGCAGAGCAGGACACACAAAGGTAAACCATCATATTGAGCCCAGGAACTTGCCTGAAACTCAGTTAATGCACACCGCAAAACAGCACTGCTCTTTCCATACCCAGAGTGTCTTTTGGTGCAACCCTTTACACAATGCCACCTTGCAGACCACCATCTCTTATTAGTCAGCTGTATTGGACAGTGAAGTAATGGTCAGGGAAGAATGGTCTGCCTCAGCCCCCCAAAACCCCCCAAAAATACCTGAAAGCCCTCAGTCTCCCATGCTGGGGAATCAAACAACTTGCCTAAATGTAAAATTTCATGAGAGCCAAGCCAACCTGAGCCAAGCACCTAAAGTAGGGGGTCCCACCTCCCTAACTGTTGTGTTCCTGTCACTTCTGCCTCAGCACCAGGACAATAGTTCTCTAATAAGGCTTTTGTGAAATACGAACTCACTCTCCTAATCGAGATAACAGGATTTTATTGAGAGACAAATCAATAAATCAAAAGCAACAGTGCAGGGGACGTGAGAGTAGCCAGAGGCACACTGATTAGCATTTGTTACAGATTTATATACTTTAACTATTGCATTAGCCATATACATATTCATAATTCCCACGTATAGGCAGGTAATATTATAACTAGCTCCAGGAACTTATAAGTTTCCTCTTAGTACCTGTGCACTGCTCTCCAGTGATCATGGGCAGGGGTCTTGAGGATGAACTAAGCAGTCTTCCTCACGTGGGCAGGGGTCTTCAAGATGAAGTAAGCAGTCTTCCTCGCAGTGTACTTTTCACCTTTGGCACAGCTGGATGCCCCAGTAATCACAAAACTAGCTGAAACCAGCCATATCTGTAATTTCCTGATAGCTGGCGAAGTTATAGAACAGTGTGACCTTCATACAAAATTTATCGCAAGCAAATCAGGATGGGCAGATGAGTATCCCAAGCTAGCAGATGCTCTGGAGGCACTGTCTCCAAACTAACTGGTAAGTAGAAGGATGGTGTGAAATAATTCACTCATGTTTAGTGGGGCCACTAAATCCTGTCATCTCACCACACACTTAAAACACAAACATTGTTCTTTATCTTCAACCTAAGTTAAGCTAAAAGTACTTTAACCCTGTTTTCCAGGCACTAGATTTCCTCATATCAAGTCTGCCCAGTCCCATCCCCCCCCATCCCCCCCCCCTTTCTTTTACCTTTACAAATTCTTTTGCTATGTGACTCCATTTTGCTCAAGAGTTCTGGCCATTTTCAACTTGTCTAAACTTGTGTCTTTAGTGAGCTTTGTTTCTGTTATTGCGAACTCACAGAGTTATATCCACATAGCAACACCTATGATTTGCAAAAGCAAAAACATTTATGTGTTTATCACACTCTGAAACACAGAGTCCCAAATCCTAGTTGAGGAACAGTCTTGTAACTGAGCACCTGAAGAGGTGCAGGCAGGCAGTGAGCTGCTCTGGGGCCCGGTCAGGACCAAGCCTACCAAGTGTGCTTGCACCTTCAGCTCAAAACCAGACTGAGCCAGCCTTCTCTTAAGACCAAATACTTAAAATAAGCCCGAAACATTGGCTATTCTGCATAGTCTTTATTTATAAACAAAACCATTGCATTTGATCACATACCAGCTTTGATCCTGCAAACTCAGGTTTATATGTTTTTATTTTTATATTTTACAAAAAATACATTTTAACAAGTAAATAAAAAACATTTCCATTAGTCCACTGCTCTCCAAATGTAAATGTACAGTGTAAATCTGCCATTTTAAATATATGCTATATTTTGCCAACTGTCTACAAGAAATTCAACTGCAGAATCTGATGAAGCATAATAAATAATGATTAAATGGAAAACAAAAACTTTTAAAAAGTCATACAAAGTTATATTACATCCACCTCTTCAAAAATCAAACATTCAATTCATCCTTTATAAACCACAACAGTATTGCATTACCCTTATTGACACTGTAGAACAGCAAGCATCTTAAAACTGAAATACTGTCCATAGCAAGAAACTGACTGAACCACAACTAAAAGGAACAGGACAGTAGCAGCGCGAAAGCCGAAAACCTTGGGTTTATAAAAAAGACTCCCTAGAAATGAGCATATTGAACACTATCTCATAATTAATTTTTATTTTTTTTTTTTTTAAGCAAGAACCATTTTTTCTTGATTACTGTTTGGATGACAAATACCATCACATAGTAAAAGGTGGATTTGCTGTCTTTGCCACCTTTCTTCTCATTCCTGATGACTTCAAAAGAAAAGCATGCAACTGACTGAAAATACAGTCACCACTGTAACAGCAACTTCTCTTGGTACCACTTCTTCCCGCTTCCTGGGAAGTTTTTGCATGAGCACTACGGTACACACCTGGACTTATGAACCAGCCCTCCTGCATTCTAATGGGAGCTACAGGTACAACCGAAAATCCCTGTGACTGCGCTCAAATAGACAAGCTCTTAGATGTAGAAAACAACAATCACATAGCAGGGGCAGGACACAAACAGGCGTGTGGTTTCCATCACTGAAACAGCTGAAATATCCTAGCCATATCCCATGGAGTTGTTTATGCTGCAAAGCTATGTACAGGTAATGTTCTTTAGTGACATCAAAGTCCAGAAGGGAGCTAAATATCACCCGTGCTCAGGATAAAACCCTTACAGATTTTTTCTTGCTTTGGTAGTGAAACACAAATACTACCCATATGGCCAAAATTTTAATCTACTAGTTACATTTCCATCCGATTAATGCAACATAACGCAATGAAACAATACTGTAGTATACAAAAATGTTAGGAGGATTTGTTCTGAGACGAAAATCAAGGAAAGTTCTTTTTTGCATTTTTATATAGTCCACTACTTAGATCATCGAAGAGGAAGGAATTGCAAATATTAATACTTATATAAGATCAAAAGTCAAAACACTTTTGCAGAAAAGTATTAAGATTCCTAATAATAAAAATAGTTGCAAATTTAATTAAAAATACATTTTAAAAGCAAAATCCTTAATTAAGTACATCAGTGTTGGTCAATATTGACAGTGTTCCTTTAAGAGGAAGCAAAGACAACACCCACCCAATGCATCTGTGGGAACATCTGAACGCAGACTATATACACTTACTGATCAAACTATGTCAAATATATAAAGCAGTATATACAATTTTGAACCTAAACAAAGGTTATAACGGAAGATCAAGCAAGAGTCTGCTAAAATCTTAAGATACTAAGTACTACTAATTTCATGCATTTGTTCTACAACTTGTCCTAAAATTTCATCTACTACATCAATATCGTAATTGACTTGCTGCAAGTCTAGATCAGGCATTATCGTAGCCAGAAGCTGTCCAACATTGACTCGAAGAGAACGTAGTTTCAGGCTGTGAAGAAATAATTAGATATGATTAGATGTAGTTTTATGTTCAAATACGGAGTACCTTTCTAAACAAAGCTGGAACGGCTCCATACCTGAATTCCGTAAACAAAAAAGTGATGCAGTTAAAGCTGCCTCAAGATAACTTCAAAATCTACCAGTTTTTCAAAGCTGAGCCTCTCTAATTTTAATTTTGAAGGTCTATATTCCCTTAGTTTCAAACAAGTACTAAAGGTGAAACTGAATTCTACCTTTCCCAAAAATAATCAGCAGTATTTCTGAATGGTTTTATTTAAGTTAGCAAAAAAATACTGGCACAATCCTTTATTCCACAACACCTTTTTATTTCTCAAAACAACACTAAAACCCCAGTAACTTTATACATTTAGAAGCACAAACTACTATCACCTATGGGAACAAGAGAAAAAGAAGAAAGAAGGTAGCAAGTAAGAGTAGTTTGTCAAAAGGCTTTAAAAGAAAGAGAAGGTAAGGTAAGAGTTACAGTACAGCTAAAATGTTATGTTTCCTCTTTCTGCTTTCTTTCCTGGATCCCCTTGTTCTGTCCTTTTCCTCACTGAATTGCTTCCAAATCACCCATCCCTTCTCTTGAGCATTCCTTTCTACCACCAGTTCTTCCATCCCCTCCAGTAGTCAGTCTTATCCCAAAAGGACTTGTGGTGGAAACTACTTAAAAGTCCTACATATATTTACTAATTCTTTTAGGAAGCACAAGTCAGCTGCTTTAAGAAGAAAATTAAATGCTGGCAGAGAAAGGGGAGATTTATTTGCTCATAATAAAAAATAAGATTTAAAGGACTGTGTGGAAAACGCCCAGTCCATTACCCCCCAACATACTTTCAAAGCAGAGCTAACTCAGATCAGGTTGCTCAGGACCTTCTTGTGTTTTGAAAATGTCCAAATATGGAGATTTCATAGTCTTCCTGGGCCCCTTTCTCCGGATTTGACTACCCTTGCTGTTAACACTTTTTTCTCTCAAATATTTGAACAGGATTTCCCTTATCACATATTGTGACTGTTGCCTCTCATCCTATCACTAAGAAGAGGCTAGCTTCATCTTTTCTGTATCCCCTCATGAAGCAGCAGAAGACAGCAATAGGATTTCAGGGTAACCTACTCTGTGTAAGGCTATTTCCCTCAGCTTCCCCTTCTATATAATATACTCCAGACCCTTACCCATCTTGGTGGCCCTTCAGTAGATATGCTCCAATATGCCAGTGCCATTCATATTTCAGGGAGCCCAAAACAGGGAATACTGTGCCCAGTTTGGTCTCACAGTGCCCAACAGCAGGGAAGAACCACTTCCCTCGAACTGCTGGCTCAACTCTTGCCAATATAGCCCAATAGGCACTCAGATTTCCCACCACAAGAGTGCACTGCCAACTCACATTGAACTTTTAGTTACTAGCATCACAGGCCATCTTCTTCCAAGTTGCTTTCCTATGGGCAGTCTCTAGCTTGTTTAGTTGCATGGGGTATTTCCAACACAGGTGCAGAACTTCACAATTGCCTGTGTTGAATTTCCTGGAGGATTCTTTCAGCCCAGTTTTCCAATTTGTCAAGGTCCCTCAGCTGCAGCCTTACATATCAATCGCTCCTTACAATTTGATGTCTTTGTGAATTTACTGAGTTAATTTTGCTCCCTCATCTAGGCCATTAATAATCACTGGCCTTGATATTGATCCATGAGATCAGCAGTCCAGCCACCTTTACAACCCACCTCCTAGTTTACCTATCTAAAACCATACCTCACAAACTTTTCTATCACGGCATTATGGCAGCCCACGCTGAAAGCTTTGCTAAAATGAAGGTCTGCAGAGGTGGTCATCTCACTGTGAACAGCAATGAGGTTGCAAAGTCATAATATGTCCTCAGTAATCCATGCTGGTTGTTCCTAATCACCTTGACTATGATGGGGCTGCAGGTGGCTTCCAAGGTAGATTTGCTCCAGTCTTCCCAGGGGCTGAGGCTACACTGACCAGCTTGTAGATCTGCATGTCCAAAATACGGGCACGACAACTGCATTTCTCCAGGTATCAGGAACGTCCAACTGTCACCACCTTTTGGAGATATCATCACAAGGCCAGCTCTTCATCCACTCATCAGCTCCCTCTGGTACATCTCATCTGCTCCTATGGACTTCTGTATACTGAATTTGCTTAAATGGTTGCTTAATTCAGTCACCTTTTATTACAGGTAATGCTTCACTCCCTAAGATTATACTTGGCTTAGGGACCTCAGCAAGCAGACCTTACAAGTAAAAACCAAGATAAAGACGACACTGATTACCTCAGTAGTTTGTACCTCATGCACCTCATATCCTTGGCCACTAAGCACCTGCCCCACTGAGCAGCAGGTCCACACTGTTCTCCAATTGCTGCTACTATGCTTACAGAAGCCCTTCTGGTTGCTCTTCCCAGGCCTTGCCTTTGCTTTGAATTCCATCCTACCTGCACAGGCAGCATACCTATATTCCTGCTGGTCTGCTCATCCATGCTTTCATCTATTACGTGTACTTTTTTTGTGTGTTTGCTATTTCTACTAACCAAGAGCTGCCAGCTCTTTTAAAAATAAGTTTAAACCCTTGTTTGGTTCAAAGATACAGTGGACACAAACTAGTTACAGAGAATTGGTCTGCAGTTAGAAATTCTTATGGAAAAGGAAAAAGTAAGTTTCAAAACTATCCCCAAACTCTTTTCAGTACAGTACTATTGATCAAGAAAGAAAAACAGAACATAAAAGTGAAGTTCATCTACACAGCATAAGGTAATGATCACACTCCTTCCTGCCTCCTTTCTCTCTCCTTTTCTGCAAGTTGTGTCAAGAAATTATTTAACATTTGATTTGTGATATTTTAAGACGTGTCAGTGGGGCATTCTACTGTGCAATGGTCAATCCTCACACAAATACCCAAATTATGAAAAAAAAAAAAAAATCACTTGATTTTAAAAAATGTTACTGGAGTTACGAGTCACAAGCAGCAGTAGAAAAGAATTCCAAGAACTGCATTTTATTGTATGATTATCAGACATAACCTTCTTCAAAATGTTGCAGATACAATGAACCAACCAAAATCTTCCTCGAAATAACAGTCTAGAAAGAACAAAATTGATACCTTTCTCCATCAGAAAAATTTACAGAGTCTTCTACATTACTGGTGGTAGAATCATTTGCACGTGCTACTGCTTGTGGAATTGAAGCTTTTAACTGTGCGATTTCTGCTTTCAGTTCTTCACACTGACAAGCAAATTGATTTTTTTCCACTTCTAGTAGTTCAGCCTGGCAAGTAAATAAAAATTCCTTTATATGTTAAAAAAATTGCATCTTATAAATAAATGCATCTTATACAAATTTACACCATTTTAACTTTACTGACTGCTTTTAGTTAACTTTTCAGTGAGATTGTAGTATATGACAACCTAGACAAACTCCTTTAAAATAGCCAGCTGTCAGCTGAACAACTGTATCTGTGTGCCCCCTAAGCTTGCTCTCTCTTTTGTCTCAAGTCAAAGCCACTTGGAGCCTTGTAGTCTCTCTCCTAAGTTTGCTTATTTCTATCTATGAAAGCAGAACAGGAGATCCTAGGATAATTTAGTATTTCTTCTCACTTTTAGGTAGCTTGATTAGTTAGTGGACTGAAGCATACAACACCTTGTGTATGAGAACTATGAAACACCCATTAAAAATTAGAAATAATTGGTAATTTGAAGGATATCACTGCTTTAACAAACGTACCTCGCTTTTATATCTGTCTCTCTCAATGCTGCACTTGTCCAGTTGCCTGAAAACATCATCCAGTTGCACAGCAATTTCATCTACCTCACTCTTGTTTTCACTATCTGCATATCCAGTTTTTAAGTTTTGCAGGGTACTACATTGTTCCTTTAGTTTTGCTATTTCTTCTAAGGCCTGTTCATACAGAATGGTCACTTCGGACAAGCTTCTTTCACAACCACTTTCTTCTTTAAATGAAGGAACTGTCTCAGTCGACTGATGGCACATTTCTTTTTTTACATACTTATTATTCAATTCAAAAATCCTTTGTTCCAGCGTTTCTACTTGTTTGGTTAATACTTCACATTTGTTTTTGTACATTTCTTTTTCTTTGCTTAATAATTGCAGCTGATTTTTCAGTTCATTTCCAAAATCTACAGATGTCTCGGAAGCAGCATTAACATTGTGCTCTTTAGTTTCCATCCCTGCCCTGGGAACTTGAATAGCAATGTCATCTTCCATCTCTTCCTTTTTAACAACTAATTTTGGGAGCTCTGTCTGTGTCGATGAGGTCAACTGTTCAGTTTTTGATTCTGAAGTAGCTGCACTGCAAGGTTCTCCAATGTCACAGTTTTCTTTCTGCTTCACTTCTTGATCCAAATTAATACATTCAGTTTTTACTACAGGAATATCAGAATCTGCTGAAGGCTTTGGAGTACTGCTCTCCTCTAAAATAATGACATCATCATCATGGTTGTTGAATGTTTTGTCATTTAATCGAGGTGTCTTTAAAGACACAGGTGTAACACAAGTAGGTGTCTTCCGTTTACGACTGAGAAGCAAAGTATTAAACTGTTTATTATTTTGCTGAAATTATATTGCAAAGTCAATTGTTTCAAACTATGTTTAGTGTTTCTATAACCATTATTAAAAGCTACCACTCAGTAACTAGAAAGGGATGTCTCCCTACATAGCATTTTAAGATGTGTAGCCAGAGTAAGTACCTTTCCTGTAAACACAAGTGGCTGACATCCTCACACTGAATTATCACCTTCACACATTATTGAAAAACAGACTAAGATTCAGTATTTGTGGAAACATCCCCCCCCCACCCCCCATCCTCCATCCCACATGCATTCCTTAACCAACAGAAGTTAAGAAAAACATACTATAGAATGCAGTTAACACAATACAGTCTTTTCCTAAACAAACAAACCACTAAGGAACTTTCCTCACCAGTACACACTACTTTTTGCTGCATTCACTTTTATACTTCACAAGGTTTCCTGGTACCTTTAATCAACCTGCGGCTTTCTATGCTCCCAAAAGTGACATATGAATTTTGGCAGCTATTACCTGAAGACAGGATTACATCAACACCACGATTTTCATTAACAAGTTATTAATTTTAGAAATAAATAGGAATCTACTTTGCACAGGTTCACTAACCTGTTATCAGAATCAGAATGAGGTGAAGATACTGATCTATTTAAAGTAAGCAGAGATCTTTTGACAGAAGCATTTGATGTTTCTGGTAGAAGTGATCTTAGAACAGATTCCTTTCCACTCACAGCTGAGAATGTTCTGAAGTCTTTACTTGAAGAAACAGGTGTTCTTACAAACACTTCATTATTGACCTATAACATAATATTAATTAAGAATTAAAAGAAACAGACATTAGTAGAGTCTTCAGAATAGGTTTAAGCAGTTCTAACTATCTGCCAACACGCAGAATTCTTACCAGCATTTCTTACATATACTACAAATATCTCCTTGAACCTTGCTCAGTATTCTGCAATAACTAAGGCTAACTTGACTCTACAATGCAAACCACAATTTTCTTAAATATTCTACAACCTCTACCCCCAAACTCTACTGATACCTGTGAAGTGTTTCCTTCATGTTGGTTTAAGATATACAACATATTAGAAAGCAGCAAATTCTATACCGTAATTACAGACTTTTACCAGATTTCTTAGAGGACTGTGAACACTGTACACTCCTCTCCGTGCACAGATTTACTGCTGTCAGAAAGCAGCTTTCTGATCTTACAAGTCTTTCTCTAGATAGCTACTTTAAAAGTACTGTGTAGAACCTCAGGCAAGAGCTTTTCCCAAGCTGTATCTGTCTGAAGCTTGACCATGACACACAAACCTGCTCATAATTAATTCAGCTTGTCTAAAGGAACAATACTTTACCCATAGAAATTACTTTTTTACTTGGGTAAACGTAACTGGAGAAAAACTAATACAATGAAGTATATAGGTTAAAACGGCACATGTAAAATATCTACAGAAATTGAGTGATCTTCAGATGGCACTTTACTATGAAAGCAACTTAAACCAAAATCATGCTTAGGAAATTTGATTCTGAGTTACAATCTACACACTAATCACTTCACCATGTTGATCTGCATCTGCATTTAATCTGAATTTAAGTGCCTCCTTGCAAAAGTACAGCTACTACAAGTCTGCCCATCTCCACCCCCTACCCCAGTTTTAAGGGCATCTTCACTATCTCCTCATAATATCTCTCTACAACAAATTCACTTTCAATAATTAGATGTCATTCTCTCCTGGGTTCAGCAGTAGCAGCCATTTTTCTCCTTCTTTGTTGCTGGTGCAGTGCTGTGTGTTTGACTTTCAGCCTGGGAACAACACTGGTAACACTGATGTTTTTAGTTGTTGCTGAGGAATGTTTACTCTGACCGAGGACTCTGTGAGTCTCATGCTCTGCCAGGGAGGAGGGGAAGCCAGGAGGAAGCAGAGACAGGACACCTGACCCAAACTAGCCAAAGAGGTATTCCATACCACAGCATGTCATGCCCAGTATATATACTGGGGGCAGTTACCCAGAAGGGCTAGATCGCTGCTTGGGTTGGGCATGGGTTGGTGGGTGGGGAGCGGTTGTATTCTCTCCCCTTGTTATTTCCCTTTTCATTATTATCATTGGTGGTAGCAGCAGTGGTTTGTGTTATACCTTAGTTACTGGACTGTTATCTCAACCCATGGGAGTTACATTCTTTCAATTCTTCTCCCCATTCCCCTGGGAGAGGGGGGAGGAAGCGGGAAGGGAGTGAGTGAGTGGCTGTGTGGTTCTGAGTTACCCCTGGGCTTAAACCACGACACGCTGGAAAACTATAACGCTTTTTACAGTGTCCTGGGATTCCTACTGAGGTTGTTAGGCCCTGGTTTGAGCCCTATATTTCTGTAGAAATCTGGGTGCAAAGGAGGCACACAGTAGGAAGGGGCCATGCTGTTTCCACTGGGTACTGATGAGTAAAATGCCAATTACAAAAAACACCCACCCTAATAAATACGATGAGAGATTAGAAATACAAGGAAAAGTTTCAATATACAGACAATACCCAGAAACTTCTGCAATTGTAAGAGAAGACTCAACAAAACCTTGACACCCTGCTCCAACCTTAGAGTGGGTGGCTCATTGAATTCACTTTTTACCCCTCCACTGCTCTGCTCTCTCTACTGGCAAACAGAGGGCTCTTGCAATACAAAGGATGTCTCCATTAAAACACATTTTTTTGAAAAATGAATGCAAAACCCGGTAAAGCTAGATTCAGCCACAGCACATCAGATTTCATGTTGCAAGAGCATGCTACCTCTTCTATTAAAGCTGGTGCCAGTGATCACATTCTGCCATTCAGTTCACTCTGTGTGGTTGTATATTTTCTTAATGAGGATCTGAAATCAGATCCCTTCTCTTAACTTGACAATCTGCCAGAATTATGCCATTTTACCAAATGCAGAACTCACACGATCCGTCTGTTGTCTGTAGCCATGCAGGGGAAACATTTTCCAAAGAGAAATGTGGGTTGGCCCCGTAAGTATGTAATTATCCAAATTCTGAAGTGTTTCAAGGTGCTCTTGGACCTGATGCTGGCCATCTAAGCTCCTATGAAGTCTTTCAGAAGAATGTACACAACTAAGCTATTGAGTTGGCAGGAAATTTTTGGAGTACAGGACCCTGCTTAGCTTCCAGTAATCATTCTAATGCCATAGAAGAGCTAGGAGTGACTGATACATTTTCTAGCATTTTTTTGTAAGAGGGTTTTGTCCCTCTAAAGCTCCTTCTTAAATACTACATACAAAGCAGTGATGCGTTTTCCATCATTGGAGAGCAAAGACAGAATATTGTTGGTTTACTAATAGCGCACATATGCTGTATAGACATCTAAACGAAACAGGATGTTGAACCAGTCAGTTGGTCATCAGCTAAAGCAAACCTTAATTCAATGCCTCGCCTATTCAATCAAACTGCACAGTACTGTTGCCAGCAAGAACAATTCCACTACCAAAATCAGTTTCCTATCAACTTCAAGAGTTACCTGGTAGCTGAACTCTAGACGCTTCTTCAGTTTTTCCCTGTCTCTGCCCAGCAGCAAGGAAGAAAAAAAAAAACACAAAACACACCAAAAAGCTTAGATTCAACATGTGAATTCATTATAAAAACAAGCCAGCCTCAAAATCTAAAGCAAACACAACACTCCTTTATCTCGGTTACATACAACAGCTTAACGTCAAAAAAAATTCTCTCATAGATTAAGGTTTATTTTAAAAATTTGAAAATAAAAAACAAACCCCAAAATAAACCAACCCCGAAACTCCCAACTCTAGAATACCAGCCAGTATTAGTTAAAATTACCCAAGCTGGGTTTTTTTTAAACACACCTTAGTTAAGAACCCTCTTATTATGAAACAGGTGTATTGAGGTATTCAGCTGGTTCAACACTGAAAAATCCTTGAATTTCAGTCCTTGAAAAATAACAGTTCCTTAGACAAAGTCTCCTAACAGCCCTAGTAGCCCACTTCTGTAACATCCCAAACTATTTTCATCACTTACTACCACAAAACAGTGCCCCTCTAAGAGCTGTACTTGAACACCAATTGCTGCATTGCTCTCCTTAGTAGCTGTTAAATGAAAGGCCCCTTTTGTTACAACTTTCCTAATTTTGATTTAGGAGGGCAAACAGGTATTAAGTCAGAGAGAAATCTGAATGTAATGCCAACATGCTAGTAGCAAAAAAACAGTGCTATTCATCTATTCACTCCTACAGTCAAGTCTTGATTTTAAGGTACTATTTTCTGGCTGGATATATTCCCAGAAGAGATGCAATTACACCACACGTGACAGTAAAGGGCATTTAGTTTTCACATTCCCTTTCTAATGCTGAGACACTTGTAAGAAAGTCTCTAGTACTCACTTTTTCTTGTAAGTTTTCTCATATGTAGGATGTATTAAGTCATCATCTTCTGGTTCTTCTGGCACATTACAATTCCTGAGTCAAGGAAACGGAAGGATTTGAGGGTGGGAAATGAAAAAGAGCTTAACAACCATGCTTATAAGAGGTGATAAGAACTAAAAGCAGTACTGAAATATTCATCGAAATCTAATGTTACCGGAATTGTGGGTCAGGGTTCAGTGAGCAGAACCACTTTTCTGGCAAATGCTCTATTCCATCTGGCAGCTTCCGCCATTTCAGACATGAATCACATTGTACCCATGTCTGATCAGGCTGTTTTCTGTAATGAAAAAAATACCAGCACTTTCACATGAAAAGTTCATTTTCATGACTGAGTGTAGAACAGTAATAACAGTATGTAAATTTCTTCTATTTAGAAGTGATACTCACTGTATCTCCTCAACTGGCAAAGCTAATGGGTATTCTCCATTTGCCTTTGTTTTCATTTCATTCCAGTAATCATTAAGCTTCTCTCCTAATGCTGCTATTGTAAGTCTGAAAAGTTTTTGAAAGACCACCATAAATAATCAAATCCTAGCACAATAAGAACTTTTATAATCTACAATGAAAGAACAATCATGAACCGCTCCAATATTTCTATTTGCACAACAGTAAGCTTTTTGCTTTGAGAAAAGCCTAGAAATCAGAAATTGTGTGAAGTCATGTTTGCCAATAAATTGCTGAAAATATGAGTTGGAGCACAAAGACTGAAATCAAAGAGTCCTCAATTCAGAAGCACCATGAACGTACAGAGCAAACTCTGAAGCTACATCACCAGTTCAACCTCAGTCATAGAAGAAACACGTACAAACCCACCTCTGTCAATCCAGTACGTAGCTGTGTATTTAGCTGATATTTCCGTACATCCATGGAACTGCAGGTTCATGACTACTCCAAGCTGACATGCAACAATATGACATGAAGACTGCAAACTTACCATTGCAGTATAAAGTCAACATGTTGCTAAAAGGAGCAGGCTAGTCTTACCCTAGGTTAATTTCCAGCTAGTTCCCTGATTAGGGCTCATTGTGCAGCCCAATGACTACCAGAGCTGGCACACAGGAAGGAGGCTGTGTGTAACAGCAGCAACAAGCCCCACAAATGAGGCAGAGGTAAGAATGCCTCTTGTAAGCATGCTGAATTTATGTCAGGGTAAAGTGGCTGGGTAACCAGAGTCTGAAAGCCAGTCCATCCCTGCTTGGCTTATTCCAATATTTAAACCACCTTGTGCCTTGAACTAACACAAATGCGTTTGCAGTGAACCAGTATGATGACCTAGAGAGTTCTGATTTAGATCACCTCTGAACCCAAGTCATGAATTTCTGTGCCAAAGAAAAGGGAGTACCACAAAGGCAGAAATGAGCAGCAATACATGGATGGGATCACATCCCTCTTCTGGAGGGGGAAGAAGGGCAGGTCAGTTTACACTGATCATGAAACTGCAGCATCAGTTTTATGTTTCTGGTTTGGGCAGGAAAGTTACCTTTTGAAAACCAGTAGCACTCTGCAGAAAAACATTTATAAAGGAGATCTTTCAAGCATAGTATCCCTCTGTGCCCACATTATATGGTTTTGGTTTTTTTTTAAAAAGAAACATGTAAAAAGCATTCAGTGCTCACAGTGCCAGTTTGCACAACCTTAGTGCAAACCCTCGTCAACACAGATGACCGTACTATGATGTTCCTAATTCCTCCCTTTCTGCCAAAGGAACTGTTAGTGCCACCACATAAGAAAGGTTCAGGGAACATCTGTATTGAAAAAACTAAGAAGAGCTATTTTCCAGTTTGACTGACTACCTGATCTGCTTTACTATGTGTTTTTGTTAAGGTTTCTGCTAGCACAATGGTGAAAGAAACACGGGAACTTCTTAAAACTGGCAATATCACTGCAAAGAGCAGCACAAACTGTGGGTACCAGTTAAAGGTACAGGCAGATTGAACTGCACTGGCTGTAGCAGCTACTAGGTCTGTTGCTCCTCCAGGGGAACACTGTTTCAACAGCAGGAATGACCAGATTTATCATGCTCCTCAATTGCTGCAATTAGCAGGTCTGTTTATTACAGCCCTTAGGTGTGGTTTCTGGGTTATCTTTATAGGCTGAGCTGAATATAAATTAGCAATTCAGGAAATGCATGGTGGACATGTTGCCAGTGGAAGCTGAACCACAACTGGCTGAAGGGCAAAACATGCAGTTTGAAAGAGGTAATGAATTCTCCTGCCAAAGTTTACCCTACCTATGTTTAAAAGTTAATACCCTAAATTTCTAAGTCTAAGACAAAAGCAAGTGTTAAGGCACACAGAAGGAAAGTACCTGCTTTTTTAAGTGTATATGGTCAAAGGAGCCATCAAGAACAGAAACAAACCTGACTGATGAGGTAGTGATAAGAACAAACCTGGTCAGTCACAAGAACTGGTAAGAGTATGTGGAGCGTGAGAATGGTTATTTTTTCAATTGGAAGGATAAGTAAAGGAAAAGAGAGGAGCACGGGCAGTCATAAAACCTGAACAATTGGCATTAGCAAAGACAACAAGTGTAGTAAGTCATGCTAATTGACAGGCTATCAAAAAATACAGGCAAATTAGGATTTTGCAACTGGTAAGGATGCAAACCTGAGGATTCAGGATGCTTGAAACTATGCCAACTGATGAGGCAATGTTCGTGAGCAAGGAGGAGCAGGGAGGAACAAAGAGGGGTTTGACAGAAGAAGGTACAGAAGAAGCAGGTTGCATGTAAAACAGGTTCAGTCAGTACAGTTGTCTGGACTACAGCTAGCCCTACCTTCTTGTATATTATTTAATAATTTCTTAATTCTCTACATATTCTTTATCCCATGTGTATGGCAAGAACTAAGTTCCAGCTACTGGTGAGAGCTGTGTGTGAGTAGATTTGATGCCAGCTCCTGGAGTCAAGACTGAATGTGTCATGCCAGTTATTGGAACAAGCAGAGGTCTCAGCTGCCACCCACTAAGGCAGGAGGTGCATCCCCCAAAACACAGCTCCTGGGGTGGACCAGTGTGAGTTAGGGTCTCAGCACTGGCAGCTGGAACAGAACTGTGTGTCACAGCTCGTGTGCCTGGTGCTGGGAGGGGGGACAAGCATCTGCATTTTTGCCAGTCCCAGTGTACTGGCATGCATGGAGCGTGCACATGTATTTCCCTCCAAACTGGACTCAGCAGTGAACAGGAGGCCCCAGGTCTGGGCAGCGATATCAGGCATGCAAGGGTTCATGTTGGTATACCCAAGGGAACTTGCAAATATGGAGTGTCTGTGGTATGAGTACATGAGTACACACACATTTGCTAGCGAACAGCGAACCACTAGCCAGTGCGTAGGGGGCCTTTGAAGCAGGTAAGAGAGCCTGGGTCCAGGCAAGGATGCCAGGAGGACAGAGGGGCCATGCCAGTACTTGGAGGATCCATAAATGTACATGTGCTTGTGAGCCTAGAGTGCCATGTGTGTGCCTTCACAAGTGAGCTTCTATCTCTGCCAGCCTAAGAGAAGGAAGGGGACTTGGCTGTTCATGTTTTATGGGAGTCCTACATGTAACACCTTGTCTGTGGCAGACTCTGTAACAGCCATGTCAGTGTCCTCTGCATGCAGCTCTGGGACATGTGCTCAGCTCTGCTACTGGTTGAACCTGCAAACAGGAGGGTTGTAGCCACATCCTGCAGCCAGGGCAGAGACCCCAGGTCCCCAGGCTGGGCTTCAGCAGCCAGGCAGGAGGGAGTCCTGAGACAGAGCTGCTGGAGGAGGCAGCTGTTCCTAATACCCCTTTTAACATGAAGCAGCACAGAAAACAGAACACAGCCAACAGCCCTGTCATCATGAAAGGAAAAAGTAATAAGAGAGTGTAACAATTCTCCAGGCTTCTATTCAGGAAGTTTTTCCTGGACAGTTGTTATGCCTCAGCTTGAAAACTGCTTACACAACTCATGCCCTCTAGCCTTTCTCCTCTCCACATGCCTCCTTTCACAATGCCAGTACAAGTGACTCACAGCAGAGGAGTGTACACAGACTAGGAAACTAGTTTAAAAATTTAAGTCAGGCTACATTCCCAACCTGGTTCACAGTTTAACTATAAGAAATATCACATTAGATACTAACTGATGGGATGGATGCAGATATGCGACAAGTGGCAACCCCGAGTTAGAAATAAAAACTGAAACAAAGCAATGTCCCAAATCACCACTACCTTCAGGATGGCAGGTATTTTAAATGCTCTGTCAGGCAGCAGAGGATTTGAGGGCATTCAAGTCCACTCTTTGGAATGAAACCGAAAAGAAGGGCTCAAAATTATCCAGCAAAGCTATTCCAGAAAGGAACCAAACAAGAAATGTTATGAAAAAAGTTAACAGCATGGGATTCGTGTATCACAATTTCAGTCAAGTGCCACACATACCCATATTTCGGCAAGTTATTCTGTGCTCATTTTTACAATCATTGAAGGGCAGAATTGCAACCAACCACTTTTTAGGGCACTTACTTTACAATGAAGTGGACTCTAAACGCTCTAGACTTCACTGACTGAACAATGAATTCAGCATGACGAGTGTACATCCTACCCTTGCTGTTCAGAACAGTCATGCAGTTTAATGATGGCACATAAGCTTTTATTTTTACTACTTAGAAGTCTTTATTGCTAAGTATTTCACAATGAACAGAAAGTCTGCATAAAATGTACAGTTACCTGTATTCATTTGTGTAGTCAAAATCTTGTTTGTTATGAGTTGGTTTTAGAAAATTGCATTCAATGATCCCAACTACACCAACACCCATGTTGTTTGCCTGTAAGGAAACAAGATCTATCAGAAAAAACAACATATATTCTATGCTAATACTGCAAGAGTCTGTCAGAGGTAACCAGCTATGTATGCTAGGTAAGAACAATTTTCTGGCTTACAACTCTTCCCCAAAAACTAAAATCTCGACACAAGCCCACCAAATTATTATTACTACTACTAATATCCTCTGTTCCACCCCTCTTTTTGTCCTGAAAGATATGCCCAGGCCTATATTTTGCGTATCAAGCTTAGTTTCAAAACCAAACATTAAAACAACCACATACAATTTAGTTTGAGCAGCCATTAAGAATTGTATTAAAAAGGTAGTTTTGTAAATGATGTATCAATATCCTAGTTTGCATTCATATTATTTTTTAAAAAACAGCATTTGAGTGCAAATGATTTTTGAAGATGTTAAAATAGTTTTGAGCTTTAATTTCTTACCTTTAACTGACAGCCAACTCTTTCATAAGCTTTGATAAGTCTGTTTTTATGGTACATCATTATTCCATAATGATCTTTGTTTCTGCAGTTAAATCCAAAAGTAATTCTTACTGTTCTAGCCTTTTACCAGATATTAAGGAAAAGTTTGGCTAATCTCATAACCACATAGAGTTACTCTGAGTGTTCATTCTAAACTGGGTCCTGAAACTTTTTTCTATGACAATAATTCCTTCAGTATGTCTTAAAATAAAAATAAATAAATAAATATAATCACATGAGTATAACTGCAATGTACCAAGCAGAATCCAGGTAGTTTACAAAGAAAGTCACATCATTAAATTCAGCATGCAATAATGTAAATATAAGTAAAGGATACATTCAGAAATTTTGGCCTATATATATCACGTTCAATGAAGGCAAGGCTTTTGGACACCAGCTGTGTTTTCACTTTTTGTCCTCGCAGAATGATCTGCATTGTTGGCTTCAGATACAAAATACTGCAATAAGCCTACAAAACAGAGTAACTGCTGTTACTAAAAAAAACCCTCAAACATCAAGGTATGAAAATTTTGCAATACACATTATGTTTAGGAAGACAAACTCAAGCTTTAACTCACTTCTATTAAATGTGGGGCTTTTTTCCAACTTGAATCCAGAAAAACAGGATACATGTATCACAAATTAAATTAATTGCAATTGAAGGACAACTTTTACACATGACATGTTAATAAGGTATCTGAAGATGCAGTTTTAACATTAAAAGAGCTCTCAAGCACAGAAGCCTCTTATTCCCCTACTGAGAGCTTAAATATTCTACTACAAACTTTAAAATAACAAATAAAAGCATGTTAACTTTGCCCCAAATGACTATATATAGCTTGATAATAGCTACATAGATCTATGAATTTTAATTTGCATTTCATTTACCATTATATTTACAACTTCTCATACTTGAAGCAGATATAGGGCTTCAGCAAGTCAGAATAACTGAAGGTTTTAGTTCAAGTGGAATACTTCTGAGTATTATCCCCCTGCCAAGAAGCGTGCCCAGAACACCTAGAAACTGCAGATGCATTTTCTTACAAAAAGACGACTTCAAAGCTTATGAGAATCAATAGTGGAGAAAGTGGTCATATCAATTAGCTTACAGGAAAGTTCTGTCCCTGTCTGCATGAATGCATTCAAACAATTCTGCTTCCCAGAAAACCTAGAAATGATAATTTTAAAATGGATAGGCTTTGTTTGACAAAGATCCAGATGGGCATATGCATGTATACCTGCACTACGATGGAATCTTACTCTGCTGAACACCGCAGACACACACCCCTATTTAACTTCTGAAGCTACTTATTGCATTTCCTGATTTGCTCCTTAGTGGATAATGACGGCTATATTTAACAGCAGAATATATTTGCAAGACTATATAAACCCCAGTAAGTTTCTTCTAACCAGCAAATGTCTACAGAAGTTCACAAATACATTCCACCTTCAATTTCAAAATAGATGTTGACATACTGCCCTAACATTTAAATTCTGATATTTGTCTCCCTCCTCAATCAACACATCTATAGTATAAGTACACTATATTACATAGTATTACATTAAAACAAGAACACATACCCTCCAGCTTCAAAAAATGAACAAACAAATTTTAAAGAGCCTTATACATACTCTCAATGAGTAGTCACTTTCTGGAACAATCTGGTCCAGTCTCTCTTGTTTTTTATATCCTCTTTTGCCCGTTTCATCTAAGTCTTCTGGAATTCTGATGTCGTATTTATCCTTGTCAAAGTCAAACTCTGTTTTTTCATTTTTATCTCTGAGAAGTAATATTAAAAAAATATCCTTATTATGACAAAAAGGAAGCCAATACAAGATAAGATACTGTAGTGGACCCAGGGGTTATCATAAAGATGCAAGAGAAAGGGAATTCCTTTAAGCCATGGTGGTTTTCCACACAGCCTAGAAAGAACAAAAATACCTGTATGTACAGGCAAGTATTACTGCTCACATACACTGAAAGGTAACAAAGTAAGTGAGGGATACAAGGAGAATGGAATTCATCTTACCTTCTAAGATTCCAAATGATAATTCTTGTTCCTTTTTTCCCTATTATAGCATCTAGCTCTGCCAGTAATTTCTCCTCAGTAGAAAATAAAGAATGTGTTAAGATGGCTTTCAGGCTGTTTTTGGATTCCACTGGATCACTTATCTGTCGTAAGCACTACATTAAGGAGAGTAACTTTGAATGAAGTAGGCTTTCAGAACAGGAGGACATTTCCACAACAGTATCCTGTACTTAACTTCACAGGTTCTCTCATTCCACATCTGAGAGCTCCTACAAATGCAAAGGCCTTAACAAATTATAGCCTTTCTTGCATCTTACAATTTATTTAGAGTATCTGTAAGATTAGACAAGGAGATATCCTTTACTGATACTATCATCCAAGTTTTGCATGTATCCACAACTTTTCATTCAGAAATTGTTGAAAGGATATGATGGTTGTTAAATGTCACTATAGGAACCATGACATGTTCTGCTTTTGTGACTTCAAGGAAAGTCTGAGACAACAGGCCGACACTCATGGTTTCTCCATTCTTGGTGAAGACAATTGCATCTTTTCCCAGGCGCATTGACCCTGACTTAAACCCATTTCCATACAGTCCTACCGGAACACGGCCATTCATCACAGACTTCTCACTGAAGCCAAAGCTGAAATATATGAAAACATCAGAAGAGCGTAAAAGATCCTATAAAACTTGAAAACCCAAAAGATGCATGCAAGGCTTACCAAATTAGATTCAGGTACAAGTTAATAGCTTGCTTTAGAGACCATGAACTACTGTACAATGACAATGTAGAGTTACGCAAATCCTGAAAGTTACTCTGCTAAAACCATACTGCAAGAATCCAGATAAATTTACTTTCATCTTTAAGTATTGAAAAGAAATATAATCTGTCTGGAATTATGCAGTAAGCATTCCTATGGGATTCTAATAGTTATCTTGTGGCTTCACAACAAATACTAAGAAAAGCCCCTAAAGCTCCCCTCTACTTGCTTGAAAATGTGCCATCTACATATCTTCCATTAGTAACTGCACATGACATTTAAAGAAAAACAGGTAACTGTATCTAGAACATGGAATTTAACAAGCAAGCTATTACTTACAGTGGCTAATAGAAAAAGAAATGTAAAAGTTTTAATTCAAGCTTGCTCAAGTTTACACCCAGAGATTTATCTGCAGGCAGAGCAATCTTTCATTCTAAAAGAACAATTGAACAGCAACTTCTCTGCTAACTGTAGAAGCTGCAGAAATATAATTTCAAACCCTATAGCACATTTAAAGATAAACAAACCACATCAGTACAATTCCCTTAAGTTTTCCACAACACCTTCTATTTTCAATATTCCAGAGGTTTTGAACTGAATCTCTCTTCTTCCCCCTTCTTGCTCACTTAACTTAAACAAAAGCAACCAAATTAAAAATGTTAGGAAAACATTAAATTTTCCTTAGCTCCACTATAGGGCACTACAGAGTTTATACAGTACAACCACTGCATAGAAAGTTAAACGGGAAGGATGACAGAAAGGATAAAAGGAAATTAAGATATAAAAACACTGATAAAGTTGTGAGAGAGTTTTATTAGCAACTGCCTATTCTAGAGTCTCACTTGTATAACCGCCCACCTTCAAATATGCAAGTTTATAAACAAAATTAGTTGATTATATATGAGAAAAAGGAATAACCTTAGCAGTAACAGAACTAGCAGCTGGAATTTTCACAAGGAAATAAAAAATGCAAAACAGGTTATCCACCTTAGCATTTTGTGCAGCTTCTCTGAGTTCATACCATTTCCATTATCAGTGAATGTCAAACACATAGTGTCGTTTATCACCGTTTTGTCTATCCATATCTGTTTAGCACTCACATCTGGATCATAAGCATTATCTGAAGAGAAAGAAAGCAAATAAGGGTGAGATACTAAGAAGCAAAAAGCAAACAGTTTAAGTGAGAACATATTTTAAAGTGTTGTAATTCCAGTGAAGATGTCCGATAACTCTTCCAAAGTTACATAAATCCATATGTAACCCAACACAGCCTTATCTAGTAGGAATGCATATATAATCAATCTGCCAAATGTCAGGTTTGCAACACTGCCAAACAGCTATATGGAACAGCTGTTCCTAACCTCACTGTAGTGTTGTGCTTGCACATATGTTTATTTGCTGAATATGGCAGCTTAATGTAGTCCCCCAGTTGTGGGCCTGTGACACTCAAGACACATGTTAAACTAATGAAGCTCTGAAATTGCATCCATTTTTCAGCTCCACAGCTAGGTATGTAATACCAATAAAGAAATTTTGTGCTGGCACTGATACAAATTTCTCAGCTAAGTCACTGAATATTAGTCAACTTTTACACAGAAGCAAGAAACCATAGCTTTCAATAAAGTAAATGTTACACTAAAACCTAAGTCTCCCTAAAACACTATCTTCTTTATAGATGACAACACTAAATCAAAACGTTATGATGTTTTAAGAGCTGCATCAAAACTTAGCAAACCTTGCCTGGAAACAACACACAATTTCCCAGCTATTACAAGATGATAGTAATACATAGGCAAAAATTTAGGTGGAGCTGAGCAGCTCAAAAATGAGAGCAGAAAATGAAACCAAGTTTCCACTTTCATTTCCTGTCTCCCAAACAGTTGTTGCAATATTTACTTTCTCCCAGCCACACAAACACCTTTTCCGGCTGGCTCCTAGGAGGCTACAGTCCAGAATGCAGACAATGTATCACTGATATACATGGCTGCAACAACATCTTACCTACTGCAGGCCTGTGGGCTTTTTAACTGGGAAATAAATTTGAAATATTACCACAACTTCAGATAATAAAATTTGAGATACTAAAAAAGGCAAGAAAAAAACCTGAAGCCCAGCTCCCCACATCCCACACAGTTCTGTGAAATCTACAACGTTGACACCACAAGTGCAGGAGATACAGGTGAGAAAACTTGTTGCTGCTCTGTTACCATGTTGCTTCCATATTAACAGAACTGTCACAAATACACGTTTTGCTGGTACAAGTTGGTCAAATTTGAGAAGTCACAACTTCTACAGAAAGTACAAAATGCTTTAGTTTAAACTTCTGCTTACAGGATTTGAAAGAGCTTGCAGCATTGCTACTGCAAGTGAAATAGAAACCATGGCTCCACAAATATTTCTTGTCAGCAAAGCTAGTTTAGATTTCATCTGCCCGCACACCATTTTCTCACATCTCTTTTCCCCCCTTCCCCAGCACTGTGCTACTCATGGAATTTGCAAGGGGGAAAGCACAAGGAAAAGGAGGGGTAGGATGTGATGGCAGAGCAGAGGGCAGTGCCCCTGCCTCACTGCCTGTTTTGCAAGTTCAGCTGAGAGTCATAAATAAACAGCTCTAGTCAACACTGCGGCCTATAAAAAGGAGTCACAGCTCAGCAGCTTGCTTTCTATAAGCATAAAGTACAAATTACATCCACAGTGAAACTGCATCATTACTATGGATGAAAAGATATTTCAGCAAACGAGGTCATTTCAAGTACAATTGAATGGTTGGAAGCATTCTTCCAAGACCATGATTTATGAAGGTCTCCTGATCTGTCAGTGCACCAACTCTCTCTAGATGTCCCATTTACTCTCTTCAAAGTATTCATTAGTTTACCTATATTTAATCTGACCAAGTACTAATGGGAGAAGCCAGCAATATAACCATCAAAAACTGGCAGGAGGGGCTAGAGCTTAAAGGCAAATTTCAGCATACACACCATTAACGTTTTAGGCAAGTTCACATAAACTAAAATTCAGATCTCCATAACATAACAATTGGTATTATTTGGCATTTGGCTTACAGTATAGCCTTTCCTAGCATGTGATAGGTGGATTACAAAATTCACTTAAACAAACATGCCTAACTAAAAGCCTTTACAACCAATATGTTGCTACAATGCTTTTGAAGCTTTGTTAAAGCAACACATATAACAAACCTGAGGCAAAGGAAGAAAAGTCTAGATGCCTTGCACAACACACCTACCATCATTCAAGCCAGGTAGGGTGACAAAACAGCTGAAATGCCCAGCTCTTTCTGCAGTCACATGGTTTTGGTTTCCTCCTCTGTGACAGCTCTGGCCTTATCTAGCTGAAAAATTTCTACTTTCTTTTGTTAGGTTAATTTTCAAGATTAACAACAGCAAAATGTGCACATAAGAAGTGAAGGAATGTGGGACCAGAAGAGCTGCTCCCTTTGGCAGTAGCAAACTGCTAGATAAGCTTGGCAAGCCTTTCTAAACCACACCTTTATTTTGAGGAATCAGAAGAAGTCCACTAATCATCCCCTAACTCAGGAAACAAGCAACCCTGAAGATATCCAGTTAATTGCGATTCAAAATCAAAAGCAAGATGATCAGCAGGAGCTAATAAACATATACACAGCCCTAGCTAACAGAGGACAGTAGAGACAATAACATAAGCAGAACTCTTAGAACACTGACAGACCATTAAAAGGAACCACTCTAGCGGCTCTCTTCATCCTGAAGATGTTCAGCCAGTAATTTGGTAATCCAAAAGAAAATTAGGATACTTGAGGAGTATTGTGACTGTGCAAAAAGTACTACTGAACGTTTTGAGGAAGCATTGAAGAAAAGGGAAAAGTCAAAGTGCATGTACAAAGAATGGTATAATGGGTGGAAGGTTGGGGAGAAGAGGATAATACACACTGATTGTGTGCAAGCTGGCTGCTGGTCAGTATGCTTTTATGGCTGGACTCTGTGCCACTCTGCTCGTACTGAATGCTATTTCTAATGATTTCCTGTGCTAGCATGAGCTCTGTTCTCAGTGTGTGCTTGCACACATTTGTTCTGCTAGCAAACATCAGGCTGGACAAGTTGGAAGAAACCAGCAACTGGTGAGATCCAAGGTCTAAACTAGAGACTGGTAAGAAGCCCAGGACAAAGGTACTGGAAAGACTCCCATGTCTTGGCAAAACACCCAGAAACGCGAAAAAGAATGAGTGATAAGTGAGTGAGAGTACACATATGTGCCACTACTGAACTTTAAACCCAGTTAGGCAAGAAGCAGGAATAGGGTAAGGCCATATGTACTGTTCATGTTTTGAGCACTGCTTGTGAGCTCTTGCAAAGTTACTGGCCTCCTGTCTGTTACAATCTGTCTGTGGCCAGCCGTGTTTACAGGATGCCAGTATACACACATCTTTGGAATGCGCACTCAGCCTTAATACTCTCTGGGCCTGAGAAGAGAAAAAGGCAGTAGTAGACTCGCATTTGATGGTATGGGAGAGAAGCAACTCACTTGGTTCCACAGTCTTCTATATTTGGCAACCCTTAGAAAACAACTCAGCAAATCATACAAGACACCTGCAACCGATATCAGGTATTACATATGCTGTTCAGAAAAAAGCTGTAGCAAAAATGAGTGGTTTGGGTTGGACAAAGAATCACCAGAGACATTAGCAAAAGTTATTTTAATAGAAATTTATAACTGATTCAACAGAATTCGATGGCAAGGTTCACTCTCCTACATACAAAAGGAAACTGTGTTAGACTTGGTAATGATTTATACAGAATCAGGCTAAAGTAATTTATACAGAATTGGACTGAAGTGAGGTGTAAAGAAACTGGGTATATGAAGGAATAAAGGAGACCCTTCCCATGATGAGTCACAAGGTTCAAAGATGACCCCCTTCTTAGAAAGAAGTCCAGGTGCAGCTGGACTCAATCTTAGTTCCAGGCTTGGTCAACAGTTTATGCCTAGGTACAAGATGCTGTATGTGGGTCTAGCAGGAGTCTAGATTTTATTCACAGTTCTAAGGTGAATCACAGGACTTCCAACAACACTTTATTATTAACTAATACACACACAGAGAGTCAAATACCTAAACCAAAACACAGAAAAAGCTATATATGTATATGTACATATATATGCATGTAAATAATGTAACATATAAAAGATCCTGTTAAAAATTCCCCTCAGATGCAGCAAAAATACTCACATCAGCTTTTTCAGCATTCCTCAGTGGGAAAAGGGTTGAGTATCAGTGAGCAGAAGTAACAGCCCTGATAAACAGTCCTCCTATTTTGTAAACTTGAGAATTTACAAACTTTGAGAGGCTTCCCACTCAGAGGGAGATACCCGGTTGCAGCCAGCTGCAATTCACGAGAGCCCAAAGTCTCCCTCTCTCTCCCGAGTCCACTGTTTATAGGGTCAAAGATGATTTGCTTTAGTCATCAATAAATTTCCATCCTGGCCTCACTTCTATATCAGTTCCACCAGTTGCACAACTCCAATAGGATATTCCAAGTTGGCAGAGAATGACTGATTATCCCAAAAGTTCTCCTTGTACAATCAGGGAGTACTCAACCCCAGCCTGATCTCTGTGTGCCACTCCCTATCTTTGCCAGGCAACTATCATTCCTGGTACAGCCAACTCCTTGCACTTAACACGAAATCCTGGGGGGGGGGGAGGGAGGGATGCACCACCACAAAAGTCAATCTGATTGTAAAAAACAAACAAACAAAAAAAAATAAACAAAAAAGTAAGATTCCCAATGGTAACAGGATCAACTCCTCCCCCCACCTGAAGGAAAGAGGTTTTGTAACAAAAATAAGTATTACAATCAAGTACTGAGCCAAATATTGTTCACATACCTATAAGTTCTGCAATTGCACTGAAAGGCCAGGTGTGACTGGTAGAGTTGGTATGCAAGAACTTTGGACAAAGCTGAAATAAACCACAAACAATGATATTAGCTTGCATTTTTCAGTGATGCCAAACCAGAAGCAGTTTTTTAAATACAGTAACATTAAATGAAGCTGGTTTGTACAACACTACCTAAAGGCTGTAATTTAATTTACTTTCAGATATTGGCATTCTAACACCTTTTAAAGGGAACATTAATATAGTTATTGAAGACAAAAAAGCAGTACAAAATTCAGCACAGTGTCATACTATGTTCTGAGCATGGATTATATTGCTATCCTATTTTTATAAAAATGGTTTGATAGAAGGAACTACTCTAGAGGTTACACCAAAGCCTTAGCCCAAATCTAGTAATAGAAGCATATACATATATATGTTCTTAAATGTTAAAAATGTACTAAGATGTATAACCATGAGTATTAAACCTTACCTGAAAGGCGAGCAGCACTTAACATACTCAAGTGTCTTACTGTCTGATGTTATTGCTCCTTTACACATGTTGATCAAATTCACCTGCCACTCTCTCAAGTAGTGGTCTGTACTTTTAGCAATTCGATCTCATACATTTTAACCTCACGATATGTACCCAGAGGAATGTAGCCACTACTAGGATTAGATAGGGATATGCAAATAAAGTACCTATTTATGGGATGTATTCAGTGACAAAAAGTATTATCAAGTGATTTGTGAAAGTCTGGGTTCAGGTATATTCACCTAGATCAAAATACTAGGAAAATCAGAACTAAATATCCATATAAAAGTTAACTATTTGTCAATGCAATGTCTGGAGAAATGTACCTATTAAGCCAGATACAGTTGGCGTTCACATTACCACTGAGGTTATCTGTAATTACACTTTTACAAGGCCTTTAACACAACCCACTGCACATATATGCTTAAGCCTCACTGGCATAATTATGTTGATGTAAAAAGCGGTGCCTATGAATACATAACACTGGAACTAGTTCTTTTACAGTGCAGTTACTTCAAAAAACATAATCCATACAATATATATAAAATTGAAAAACATTTGAAAATAGCATGTATGTACCCATATTTCATAAATTTTACAGAACTACTACACTGACAAACACTTATGTAGTTAGTAAAGTCTAAATTAAAGCAAATAACCACTTCAAGTTCATGTAGCAGTGAAAGAGAATAATGCTGCAAGTTCTAGAGCCGTGAGTCAGGTACTGGAGCAGGAATAAAGCAACAGCTTTAGTTCTGATCAACATAAATTACCACTAAATTTCACCTCTATTCTAAGGTTGTAAGAGCACAGGACACACTTTCGGACTGCAACTTAACCCCTGTATTTCTCCAATGAGCTACAAGTATGGACAGACAACACATTCTTCATTGCCATCTGTGCTTTAAAACTCAAGTTTCATAAAGCTAAGGCACTGTGCCCCTTTCAAATGCTTAACAGATACGTACAAATAATTTAGAATCCAGGAAGAAAATGATATCAAGTCTATTAACGGAAATCTCACATATGCCATGGCATGTGGTTAAAAGGACCTTCAATTTTCTTCCTCTGCCGTACAGTAACTCAGTAGATATGAAGATCTCTGTACCATTTTCTTCACTTCAACCTTTAACAGCGCTGGCATCAGTTGCTGCTTTGCTTTCTAAGCTTCATGATCACAACACACAAGAAACAACTGGGGATTTTTCCACCTGAAATTCCTTCTCGTCAAACCATAAAACCTAACACTAAAACAACCTCAACAGCACACAAATGGACATTCAAGCATTCAGCATCTACTCAACTTGCTGCTAAAGCATTTCTCTGCTACTAGCCAGTGAAAAAAATCCAACCATATATAAGGTAGACTACTTCAACCTCTGGAGTTAATTGCTGGCATTGAAGCCTCAGCAATATGGATTTGGTGAAAAGTCCTGTCTGTACTTTTGATAAAGGCATAAACTCACAGTTGCAAGACTCCCTTGGTCATCAGTCAATGCTGATGTCGGAAGGAATCTCAGTTTCATCAACACTGACATAATCACAAGTAAGTGTCCTTGTTTGCTGTGAAGCAAAAAGCGTGCATGTCCATGGCAAGAAAATCTTAATGTGTTGTCTGTGTAATGCAAAGCTTCTTCACCTGTCCTTTCACTGCTGCATACCAGTGATAAACCTCAAAAAAAACCCAGCACCTTAAAGAAACAGCATCTTCTATAAACAAACACCAGAATCATCCTGATCTTCTCTGGATCACTGTTTCAAGCAGTAAAGTTTTGAGAAAGGCTTGAAGGTGGTACACAGAAGTGTGAACTTGTCAACACATGTAAGAAATGAGAAGACTGGAGTTGGAACATGGGAACTGTAATAAACTGTCTCTAATATCAATTTCCCCTTCCTCCCCCCAGCAAAAGGTGACCAACTATCCCACAGAGTAGTTCACAGGAAAGCACCTCATAGCACCTTTTGTTCATGTAAAGCACAAAAAAAAGGGCACACAAGAAAGTAAAATTAAAAATCCCCAGAGAATAGTGGTTTAAGGCCATTATCTTTTTAGTCTGCTTCAGAACACATCCAGCTACCAGCAACAACTCACCATTTCCTGATGAACTCACAGGGAAATACTTAATCCCAGAATACTTAATCCCATTTTGTTTCCTTATACTTCATTCAAAGCACCACTTCAATTAGCTCACGAATAACTGGAGTTCAGTAAGTACAGTAAGAAAGAGTTAGTTACCTGGTGAGCACTCCCTTTTAGCTATGTTAGGATGACTGGGCCTAATATATTTTGTGACTAAGTGAGTTTTGTTAGTGGTTCCACTTTCCCTCCTGAGTCCAAATGCAGCCAAATTCCTTTTGGAAGTACAACTAAACCTCCCGCTCCTTCAAACTGCATATACAGTTCATATTATAAGCTGCACTAAGAGGAGCATCTCCTACAATTAAGACCAGCAAATATTTAAGAATAGGCAGCTTAACTCTTAAAAACAACATGCAGTGTTGAGAATTATAGCTTTCCAAGAAAACTGGAGCTCTTCCATCCTTGGCAGACGATAAGGCATGCACAGATCGAATTACCACTGAAAAATATATCTTATCTTATGAAAGCATTTCACAACTTCTTGGGGAACAACCCCACTGCCACTTTCTTCCTCTCCCTCCCAGTTATGCAGCCTGGTTACATGACTGTGTGATGAACCCCATCAGGGAGCCTATCCAAATTAAAACCCATTTTTAAGTTCTTATTTTTAACCTGGACCACCTCCCTGATCCGTCTCATCATACAGCTGAGCAAAAGTGAGATAATGCCAGAGTGGGAACGGGTTACCAGGCCTGCTCACACTGCCTACGTTGTTTATACATGCTTCTGAAACTAATGAAAATATTTTGGGGAAACCCAACCTATTTCCAAGCCGACAGAAGAGACTGTGACCATCAGCTCTTTATTGCTCCCTAGAAAACAGAGCCTTTTACACTGTAGGACACAACCTGTTTAGAAGCTGTATTATCTGCTTCCCTATAGCAGGCCATGAAATCCCGCCCCCAGTACCCGAGCCAACCTACCCGCACAAGAGAACTTCCCCGCCCGCTCAGCCCGAGCTAACCGAGCCGAGTTTGTGCCGCGACGGAAGGCGAGCAGCCCGCCGGCCTCTCCCCATGCCCGGCCAGTGCTGCTACCAACGGCTTCCCTCGCCAGTGCAGTGCCCGGGGCTGGGTAAGGAGCTGCCGGGAGCGGCACACGGCGAGGAGGACGGTGCTGGCTTATTTTAGGCGGAACCAGATCTTCCTGACCCCTGGCCGACAACTTTTCACCCCCCAGAGAAGCCGAGGCGCCACTCCCAACCCGGGTGGACTCCGCTCCCTGCTTTCCCTGGGGGGAAACGACGAGCTGTTTCTCAGCAGCGGCACGGCAGCTCCCCCCTCCCCAAAGCGGCCTTCCCCCAGCCCGCCCCTCAGCCACCGCGCTCATCGCACCGGTGCCCCGGCGCCGACGGCGGCCGAGAGGAAGAGAGCCCGTCCGCTGACGTGCCCGTCAAGCCCCCCGGGCTGGCCGCCTCTGGCCCCGCACCACTCACCGCGCTGAAGCGGATGCCGCCCTGTGTTTTCGCCGCCATCTTTTGTGCCACAGCGAGAGCCGGGGAGGGCGCGAGAGCCTGTAACCCGCACTTCCGCCTCGCCCCCTCCACTCACGCTTCCGGCACCGAGCGCGCCGTCTCGCGGGGAGCAGCGGGCCCGGCTGTGGTGTGGCGGCGGCAGCTGCCGGTGGGGCAGGGGAGGCTCGGCCCTGCCGGCCTTTGGGCTGACACCCGGAGCTGTGGTGGCGTTGGCACTGCCCCGCGGACACGCAGCGGGTACTGGGGGCTTTCAGCGCTGGGAGCCTCGGAGGTGCGGGGTACATCGCACAGCGCTACAAAGGAGGGACGGACTGCGGAGAAAGGGTGAAATATGAAAAGCAGTTTTCACAAAATCACAGCATGGTTTGGGTTGGGAGAGACCTTAAAGACCATCCAGTTTCAACCGCTTGCCACGGGCAGGGACACCTCCCGCTACTACTCGAAAGCCGCGTCTAACCTGGCCTTGAACACTGCCAGGGATGTGACAGTCCCTTCGTGGGGCAATCCCTGTGCCAGTGTCTCAACCACCCTTTAAATCTACACTATTCTACCTACTCTAAATCTAATCTAAAATCCATCAGCCCACACTCCTCTGCCCATAGGTCTTCAAGATCAGGTGTACTGAAGAGTGTCCTCCTTCCAAATGAAAAGGCTACACTTCCAGGGCACTTTCCCTAAACATACAGAAACGCAGAGAATGGTTTTTGGAAAGCCATGCATACCAAGAAAGACTTACGGAGCAACAGTCCTGAATTTCTCAGGGGCAGGCACTCCCTCCATGATGGCGGGTCATCAGTGCCTCTCAGTCAGTCAATGACACCCCACCCACCATTCTGCAGCACCCGCAGCTTCCTCCACCTGCTCCACGCAGCTCTGCCGTACACACAAACCCAGAGAACTCATCCTGAGACCACAGAGCTGGGATCCCAGGGTGGAAGGTTCAGGGATGCAAAAGGTGAGGACGTAGGAGTGAGAGCAGTAGGGGCACACCGTGAAAGGATGATGAAGGCAGGGACGCAGTCTGTCCCCCAGCAAGCATGGGGCTTAGCACAGAGCTGCTGCTGCTAGGCTTTGAACTGTGGTCTTCAGGGTTCTGTACAGAGCCCTCATCCATTGAAACAGCATTTGAGAGCTTTTAGAGAGTCAGGTAAAAGTTGATGAGTGAGCAGTAAAAGTAATTTGAAAAACGAGGCTTGCATTTGAAAAGGTATTTCAAAGTAACATTTAATATTATTAGAAGAGTTGCATTCAAATAATACATTTAACCATTACTTAATGATCTGCATTTCAAGCTCTGCTGTTCTATGGCAGTCACCTTGGTTGTACCTACTAGCTTTTTCCTTCAGGAAAATGAAATCCCTTTGAATATGTTGCCCTCTGCATATCATGCATTGTGGCTATGCTGTCTCAAAGCTGAAGTATCCAAAAGAGAAAGCTTGGTTATCCTGAAAACAACCAAAGAACTACACAGTAAAGCAAAAGCATTTTCTCTACTGTTCTTGATACTGAGTTCTAGGCAAAAGTTTTTCAGATTCATCTACAGTTACCCTGCCTTGGCAGTACCAGCATTAAAGCAGTACAACCCTCCTTCACATGGATTTAACAGCAGTAGCATAAGAAGTAAAATGACTACAGTTAGTCCCATATAGAAAAGGTATAAAGTTACACTGCTAGAGATACCTTTAGGCCTATGTAAGTGTGTCCCTCCACCACCCAAGGAGGACTTGTCCTTTCCCCTTATTCACATGCTATTTATACTGATAAAAGATCTGCTTATATACTAAATTTTAAAGAACTTTTTCTTCTTCAGAATTAGATTCTGCTGCAGTGAAAGGATTCTGCAAGTCACAAGTATCTAAGGCCATTTAAAGCAGCCATCTGCAGAACCACAGGACAGAACTAAATGTCTGTATGAAGGCAGGAGTTCAAAGCAGTTTGTGGAAGGTAAGATCAGCTTAGAAGTTAGACAGTTAGACCTAAGTCACAGATTCTGTGATTAAAATGCACCACCACAGCTAAGGAGGAAGTGACTAATGTCTGATCCCCTGCACATCTGAAGTACAGGCAGCCAGAATGGGACATTCCCTTTCGAGGGGAAGGATGACAAACCCCTCCATCTAAGTAACTAGTTCACCACCTCCAGTTTGCAAGGAAACTATGTGAAGACATGGGTTTACAGCTTATGGGAGAACGTAAAAATAGAAGGTTTGATGGCAGAAAGTTGTCTTAGGTTTTAATAGCCCATTTGACAGCATCTTATCAGTATTTTAAGGGAAACACCCAAGTATCAAATGTAACCCTCAGAAAGCTGAAAGTAAAAATATCAAATCACCCTGAGTATTAGCGATTTCTCTTTAAGAATTATTGAAGATGTGTAAGTAATGAACACAAATATTTTAAAAACATTCTGCTCCAATTTTCCAGTAATGCTTTAAAAGGATAACTTTTAACTTGTGCTCATTCCAGTACCATTAGAGAACATTAATAAATTATATTAATACATTCACATTCTTAGTGACTACAGTTTTATGCTTCAGTCTATCACTTTCCTTAACTAAAAAAAAAAAATCAAAGTAGCTGTAAGAATTCAAATTTAAGTTTAAGCATAAGCCTGTTGCAGTATCACCTTCACAGAGCATTACAGTATTAACATAGTAAACCATGATCAGTGTTTCATTATTTTAGTTTATAATACAAAGATGAAATTCGTATTATCTGTAGATAAAATACACTGCAGAATAGCCTTCCACATTTTGAAAAAAAGAAGATGAAACAAAACCATCCCTGACCTCACAACCTGGGGACATCAAACCACACATTTTGTATGTCCTGTTTTAATTAGCAAAAACAAGAGTGGTGAATTTCAGTACCCAACACATTTACCTCAGTTGCAGTGTCCAAATAACTCTAGTAGCATGTAACAGTCCAGGTTATATCTTACAAAACCAATTCTTTGAAGGCAAAGGTGTATCAAAAAAAAAAACCTAAACAAAAGCAGACAAAGCTTCTCACCATGAAAAATAATAAACATCCCTGCCCAGAAAAACCAGTATTGCAAATCGAGTCAGACAGTCCACTAAGTATGAAAATTCAATGTAGTCCATCTTCTCATTTAAAAAATATTCTACTAAGCCTTTTGTTGTAGGCGTTGCTACAATGGTGCTTATCCATTGGCCATCAGAAGTGTCCTTTAGACATGCAGCTGTACTGTTTGGTGGTAGAACTAATCCCTATCTCCCACGTCCTGGGTGGTGGCAGCAGTGCAATTCTGAAATAACCTGCACCTTGAACATTACTGTAGTCATGGCATGGTGATGATCTTCCTACCTCTTTTAACACCTAGGAACAGCCAAATACATTCTTTTGTATCAAAAAAAAAAAAAAAGGTAATTTTATTTTCATTTAATTAGGCTGTTATATGCAGCAATTTATATTTATATAGAATTATCTTCATTTAGTTGTATTTCAGAAGTTTCAAAGTGGCCTTAGTCCCTGAAAGAAGAGTTTTTTAATTAAAAGAAAAAAAGAAATTAGAATATTTTTAGTCAAGTAATTAAAATTAAAAACCCTCAAGTAATGTAAATTACAAAATGTTACTGCATAGGTTTGTCTTTTATGAGTGTTTATCTTTTATTTAGGAATTGCTAATCCTGAAGAATGCTATTATAGTACAGAGTTGAAATTACAAACATGATTAAGTCTGCAGTTATTTGCACAGTGCTGAGACTTATAAAATACATCTGTTTGAAATTTAGGTGATTTGTATAGAATAGATAAGTTTTAGGGCAAGTTAAAGAAAGGAGAAGTAGGAGCAGGCTTTAACTTCAGGAAATGGCTTATCTGCAAACTGATTGTATACTGACATGCAGTATTGGCTTTTTCTTAAATTTACTTTCAGAAGACAATTCCAAAAGCAGTTTAAAATCCTTACTTGAGAAGTTACTGAATAAATGGTACAATTGCTACTTTCACCAAGTCAAAAATATTCTTCCTCTATGTACAAAATCTCTTTAATCCTTCACATTGAGAAAAAGTAAAATAATACAGTAACTATGATAATTGCCACTAAACTGTACTTTTTTCTTTTCCCCGACAGGAGCTGAAGAATCCTGCTTTTTAACCCCACTCAGAAGCCCGGGTTACTGAAGAGCACTCCATAACAGCAGGAAGAAAACCCAAAATGTAGTTTCAAAACTGGGGAAAAAAGAATAATTGCAGTAAAGTTTTCCCTTTTTTTTGCTGTTTGTTCACCACGACTCAAGGGTCTGACATGTGGCTTAACTTTCCATGTTTTCAAGGAAGTCACATTCAACATTCTCTTCAAGCTGTTGCAAGACCTTTACACCATTACTGCCGCCAGCACAGTCCACAGGAGGAGATGCAGGAGTATGTGAATTCTGGGACTCACTCCTGTTTGTTGTAAATGCACAACACAGAGTCTTGAAGAAGGGCATAAGCTGCGTGATGTGGGATACAGAGCGGAAGTTCAAAAGAGGAAACTTCTGCTTCTTGAAAATTGTCTCAGTGCTATTCATTTCCTGTAAGCAAACAAGTTGAGGTTTACTAAAGGTTTTGCACTAAGACACAATTTTATGGCTTGTCTGAACTCCTGTGCTATACTGTTTTTCATGCTAAGAGATCCACAGCCTACAACTGTATCACGATAAAAATAGTATAGGTGGCATACAGAGTTACTTCTATAGTTGGATTCAAGGTTCCATTATATGAAAGTCTCATAAATTCAGAAAACTGCAAATTTGGACTAGCCTTAAGAATCAAACAACAACCAGATTATGTCTGAGAAATACTAATGCCTGTATTTTTTTTCTGGAAGAATTAAAATGAAACCTGGATGGTAATTTATGGTAAAGTTTTTTTTTGGCAAAGTATGGCATGCGCTTTTTTATGAATACTAGTCCTGTCTGAGACAAATTGTTTTCACTGGGTGGTGTGGGAAGATTTAAGGTAACAATAGGAAAACTGCCTCTTGTTCCGTCATGTTCAAATGCAATCATACATCTTCAAGATCTACATGCGAAAGCAGGGAGATAATTTTTAAAAGCCTCATGAATTTTATTAGACTGTCTAAAACCCTCTTGCCTAACT